ATGTAGGACCCTACCTAGAAAAAAAAAGAAACATGCTTTTCAGTTAATTTCACAACTAAATTGGTGACTCATATGTTTCATTGAAATAAGTCCTGCTTCTAAAAATGTCATATGTCAAAATACATATCATTGTAATTTGTGAGAAAGATTTAAGAACTGTCATAATTACTATGAATCCTTATAAAAATCTGTTTCGCAGTGGCACAATGGGTTAAATCCTTGTGCTACTGAACTGCTGATCTGAAGGTTGGCAATTCGAATCTGTGAGATGGGGTGAGCTCCTGCTATTAGCCCTAGCTACCTAGCAGTTTGAAAACATGTAAATGTGAGTAGAGCAATAGGTACTGCTTTGGCAGGAAAAGGCAAAAAGATGCTCCAAGCAGTCATGCCAGCCACACAACTAGAAAGTGTATCCAGATGTAGGCTCCTTTGCTTAGAAATGGAGAAAGCTCCTCCCCCAGAGAAGGGGTTGAACACTGCCTCCAGAGCCAGAAATGGAAGGAGAAGCCTTTGCCTTTGTCTGTGTGTTTGTGTCTCGTTGTCATTGTAATAAGGCATTGAATGTTTGCCTGTGTCTGCTTATATACATTGTAATCTGCTCTGAGTTCCCCTCGGGGAGAAGGGCGGAATATAAATAAAGTATTATTATTATTATTATTATTATTATTATTATTATTCCCATACCCAATGGGCTTTCCTTTTCACAATCATGAGAATGCTGTATGTGTAACTGGTCCCGTTTTAGTCTTCTCTTCATTGAGCTTGAGAGTATTTCTTATTATGTTTTTAAATTCTGAAGCTCTGAAGATCCAACTCAGCATTTGCTTCAGATCTGCAGATATCATTGCACATATGTGGGAATCAAAATAAAAGAGTTTTTAAAGTGTAGTATATGCCTTGATATGGAATTTATATTTCGTTCCTACAAACACAGGTGTGTGTGTGTATATATATATATAATTATATATTATATATTTGTATTTGTTGCATGTCTTCAAGTCCTTTTTGACTTATGGCAACCCCAAGCCAAATCTCTCATTGGGTTTTTTGGGCAAGAATTCTTCAGAGTAAGATTGCCATTGCCTTCCTCTAAGGCTGAGACAGTATGACTTACCCAAAATTGCCCAAATGTTTCCGTGGCCAAGCAGAGATTCAAACACTGATTTCCCAGAGTCCTGGCCCACTATATGTACCTGGCTGTGTGTATAACAGTGTATCCTATAAAACCCATACACATATAATTTGTTTTTGTGGGTGTTACATTGTGTGATTTACATACCTAACAGCTGTCCCCATTACAACAGACAAGAAAAAGGAGAAATCAAAAACAGGAGCAGCGTGAGGACAAAAATAAGTCTGACAGGTTGGAAAACCATGATCAAAGGACTGAGGAAGGTCCCTGTTCCAATCCCTATGTGGTCATGAAGATCACTGATGCCTTATTTCCAGAACAGGACAACGGAAGTGAAGCTTAGAGAAAAACATCTAAATAAGAAGCTCTGAACATATGCATAAGGGACAGAGGGGAGTAAAAGAAGGAAAAAGAGAAGAAAAGAAAGAAGAAAGAAAGAAGTGATGCATGTAATAAATGATGTTGGTATGAGCACACGGATTTTCCTCATGACTCCACAACCCTCCAGCTGAAAATATCCGGCGTACAGAGGCTGCTCTTAAGACTTGCAGCATTTTTCAGTTCCACTCCAAAGCTCTTGGCTGCATCCCTTCTAGGATCTTCCCTACACAGTGAGCAAACTGCCTTAATGGCCTTAGGCTGACTGCAGCCTTTGTGTTCCCTCACTCCACTTTCATTTTAATTTGGTTCTTCCCATTTAGAAGGAGCAGGAGGAAATAACTGCAGTTTTGCTTTATGTTTCAGAAAGTGAGTAAGGTCCGCCAAACCTCTCAAAAAGGCTGAGATGCGATATACGTATTTGAATGTGGAAAGTGACCTTTTAAAGGTAATAGGAATTTGAAGTCTTTGACACTGGCTTAAGGTCAATACCCATTTTGATAGAAAAAGTTAATAAGCAGTTATTGCTGAAAGTCTAGTCCAGGGGTCCTCAAACTTTTTAAGCAGAGGGCCAGGTCACAGTCCCTCAAACTGGTGGAGGGCCAGATTATAATTTGAAAAAAAAATGAATGAATTCCTATGCACACTGCACATATCTTATTTGTAGTGCAAAAAACACTTTCAAACAATACAATAATTAAAATGAATAACAATTTTAACAAATATAAACGTATTCGTATTTCAATGTGAAGTGTGGGCCTGCTTTTGGCTGATGAGATAGGATTGTTGATGTTGTTGTTGTTGTTGTTGTTGTTGTGTGCTTTCAAGTCATTTCAGACTTAGGTTGACCCTGAGCGAGGGCTGGGTAAATGACCTTGGAGGGCCATATCCGGCCCTCGGGCCTTTGTTTGAGGACCCCTGGTCTAGTCCTTCGATCCACTTCATTGCATCTTTTTTACATTAAGGATTTGTAAAACTTCTGTTCTCATTTTGATGCTTCAAAATCTTTCTGGTTATTTTTATTCATTAAGGAAATGGGTGTAAATGTAATTATTTGATTCTGCTGCAGACTACTTACGGTTTGTGTTCTTTTCATCAAATGGTTCTCAACATGTAGCTACAAAAACTGTACAAGACTGGCATTGGATTTACCAGCCATCACCCAAAAGAAAGCTTCCTCTTGTGCATTTTGCCCTCTGGTTAATTTCTGAACACTGACATAGCGAAGTCTAATAATTAAACTGTGCTCTGAAAGATGAATCTATGCAAAGGACAATAAGCAGAAAGGAAATGTCCTAAAACTCTGGAATCAGTAATTTCTTTCCACAATAATGCAAATGACATGCAAGCTGATGATAAAGGACAGAAACCATATTATTCTCTGCAGAACTAGAACAATGTTGTGTTTCAGAAGAAAAGATAATTCATTATTTTTCCTTTACGAATTACTTAGGAATTCTTGCACATATAAAGATGACTAAGCTTGAATCATGCTGCAGGCTAATTCTGTCTCTCAGCAAGGTAATACATAGTAACTGTAGAAATACAATTGTTTCTTTTCTTCCTAAATTTTCTCAAAAACATACGAGGGGTATTTTTTAAGTAAGGTCCGTTCTGTTGTAGACACTAGTAGTTGGCGCGCATACCGCAATGAGCACGTGCGTCGTGTACCAGCATGCCTCGGGAACAACTGTGCTCAGTTTCCGCTCTGTAGCTAACCTGTATGGTTCTGTTCTGTGCTTTAAAAATGTTTAAGACTATCAACTCACCCGCCACATGTGAGGTTTGCTCAGTGATATGGTTTTTGTCAGCAAGGAACCTGCCTGCTGCAGAAATTCATCGACAGATTTGTGAAGTGTACGGTGATACTGTTATGAGTGAAAGCAAAGTGCATAAGTAAGTACGACAATTCAAAGATGGCCGTGACAATGTCCATGATGAGGACCACTCCGGTCACCCTTCTTTGAATACAGACGATTTGGTGGCTTCAGTTGAAGCGAGCGAACCTCACATGCGGAGGGTGAGCTCTTTAAGTTAAGGAAATGTTTACAAGGTTCCTTACGTTAAGAAGTCAACACAAGCCTTGTGTTTACCAACACTAATAAAGAAGAGTCAACATCTGCCAGGAAACAGATGGAGCCAAGATGTTTCAGGCTGGAAAAACATCAATCATTCATTTACAACTCTGGAACAACATCAGCAGAAATGCTGCTATATAAGAGACGTTATTACAATCCAAAAAGTGTGACAGGCACTGATGCTGTTCACCCACCATGCTCTGTGGAAAGAGATGGTGTATAGGGAGTGTCAGATCTGCAATGGAAAGCAGGAGTCTGGACACTTGGCCTCCTTTTCTCAAGGGAAGAGAAAGGAGTGTGATTTTGGAAGTACTGTCATGATATTTTTGCAGGGAGTCCGTTTCTGATCCTTGGCATTGTTCTTAGGGAAAGAGGATGCATTTTAGTGTTTTAAAAGTTTTGATGCATTGGCAGATTTGCAAGGAAGCAGTCTGGCCTAAGAGATGTTCTTCTCCAGGAGACAGCGGGAGGAAATGATAATGTATGAATGAAGATTCATTACCAAAGCTCTTGAATGTAGACGTTCATGAGCTCTCTAGCAGAGAATCTTAAGCACTCAACTGAACTGCAAATGCAAGGATCCCCTCCATTGAGGCCACAGCAGTTAAAGTGGTATGGCACTACCAGAACTGTGCACTATGCACAAACCCTTGTTCAGGATGATGTTTATACAGTGGCCAATGACTTGCAAATAGGAAGCCCAGACACACAAAATGAGTGCAACAATACCATGTCACCTGACTATTCAATACATGGGATCCCAATGTATCTGATACAAGATTTGACATAATCTATCTTGACTGTGAACCACTGACAGCCTAACCTGAATTTGCTAATCCTCTTTTTAAGGGTATGCAAGTTGGCAATCATCACTACATCTTGTGGCAGTGAATTTCATAATGTAACTGTGTTCATTAGTGGGCTGAAGTAGTTCAATCCCTTTGTCCTGAATCTCGAAGAGAGTCAGAATCTCTATCATGAATCCTTTCAGCTTGAATTGGAAGGGACTGGAGCAAGGAACTTCTATGCACAAAATAGATTTTTCTACCTCTGACTTAATGCTCCCTCTCTCTCCCAAAAATATAAGAATGGGAAAAGCAGGGATAAATACTAACAATAAAAGTGGCAGGATAAATTAAAATGAAGGAATAGAAGAAATCCATAGGGAAAAACGAGAACGGTGGTGAAGAGAAGGGGAAATAAAGAGGCGGATTTCTTACTACAATGGTTTTTCACTGCTTTGTGAAATACGACCTTTGTGCATCTTTACATCACAATGCCATGCATAATTATGAAAAGTTCCATTTGTGCAAAAGGCTTTATTCCCTGAAGTGTGTGTATGAAACTGCAGCCTTGTAACACATAACATCTCTACAGAAAACCACATAATTATGATATACTGAAAAGCTCACCAGATACACCAATATCAGAGAGCACGGCTTTCTTGCGGTCCTTGACACTGCTTATCTGTGGAAAGTAGACATCTAACGCCAGGTAGAGAAGGCAGCTGAGGAAGGCAAGGACTCCCACGGTGATGCCATAGTTGCAGGCATTCTGGTTGCGGTTGTAGATGCAGTATTCTTCCATTTCGTTTGGCTTGTTGACATAGCCTTCGTTCACAATAGAGCCAAATACAACAATGGAGAAAAGCTGGAGAGAGGAAAGCAAGCTAAGTGTTAAGAGGATTCCTTCTGCAAACATGTAATCTATACCTAGGGTGCAATTCTGCTGGTGATAAGCACTTTTAAATCTCATTCATTTCAATGGAAGAGAGCTAAACACATGCACAGCTAACACTTAAATGTGCATGAGTGCAGACAAATTGTACCCCAGGTGTTTTAATACAACATTCTGCAAGTGGCTGCCATTTGCTTTCCATCTCAGCTGACAATTACTCTGGTTGAAATATGTTTGAACACAAGAGCAATGCCATTTCCAGTCACCTAGCTCTAGTCATTAATACCACTATAATTCAACCACCCACTCTGTCTGCCACCTACCAACTCTCCAGTTTATTTTCCCATCTGTCAACTCAGTATTCTGCCATTGTCTATCCAAATATTACAACCTCAGACCTTCAATACCCAATTATTTCATTTCATATTTTTTTTTGTTTCATTATCCATTTGTCAAGAATTATTTTCTTCCAATTTCTTTCATTCCTTTGTGGTTTTGCTAAATATCATCCACCTAGCTGTATGACAACTCTACTATTAAGACACAAACAAGTAAAACTACTATTAAGACACAAACAAGTAAATCTGAATTCTAAAATGTGCTCCTTTTTAAAAGGTGCTTGGGCTACCTGTAGGCACTTCAAGATGCTTCCTCTGTCCTCTTCTACCATAGTACAGGTCGAGCATCCTTTTACAGAATTCTAAAATACTTCAAAATCCGAAATTGTTCACATTGGTGACTCAAATAATGATGCCACTTTGCTTGCTGATTTTTCAATATACACAAACTTTTGTGTCATGGACAACATTGTTAAAATATTGCAAAAAAATCTTCTGGTTATGTGTATAATGTATCTATAAAACATGAATGAATTCTGGGTTCAAAATTGAACCTCATGTCCAAGATCTCTCATTATGTATGTAAATGGAAAGAATGGTATTCCAAAATCTAAAACCTTTCTGGCTTCAAACATTTTCGATAAGGGGCACTCAACCTATATGTTTTTTTAAAAATTAGAAATTGACAATATGAGTGTGCTTGTGTATTAAAATGCCTACTAGAAAGAACATAGTTTCCCACCATTCACACGACAGCTGAATTAACACACAGTCCTATGAAATACCATCAGATAATCACCATCATGATTATCATGATCATCATCATTTTATTTTTGTATCCTGCCACCATCTCCCCGAAGGGACTCAGGACTGCTTACACACGGCACAAAGTGTCTAAAAACCTGAGCATAAAATGAAAACAATTTAAAAATACAATTAAATAAACACATAGGCATATAAAACAACAACTAAGGCTCAATTAAAAATAGCACTCATCAACCAATGGCAGTAAGCTACTATAAACATGGCCAGGCTGTAAACAATCAAACTGGGAATGGGATAAGTACAAAGCTTTAACCATGGGAAGAGGGTATGGGATAAACTGCAAGGCTGGATTATTATTTATTACTCCTACAAAAGCTGCTATCAGTGGTTCACTTCTGGAACCTGCTCCAGAGTTGATCTACATCTCAACAGACAAGTATGGGTCACCTTTATATTGGTTTGTAGCAGGAAGCCCTAAAACAGTGGTTCTCAACCTGCGGGTCCCCACGTGTTTTGACTACAACTCCCAAAAATCCCAGCCACTTTACCAGCTGTTAGGATTTCTGGGAGTTGAAGGCCAAAACATCTGGGGACCCACAGGTTGAGAACCATTGCCCTAAAACAACCACAACTACATTCAATTTCCTATCAGATAATTTTAGTTCAAAACTCACCAAAGTAACAGAAATTCCAAGTGAAATGAATCCAGAGTGGTAAAATATGGTAACTGAATTATTAAGCATTTGCTGCTATTAACAGAATTTCACACTCTACCATCAGAAGTAGATAGCTTCAACCTGACAGCAGAAACAGGGCTTTGTTTGAACACTGCAGTGCACATATAGGGAAGATCTGAAACACCTGCAGGAAAGCAACATGGGGTTCATTAGAAATTATCTAGATTAGTGGTTCCCAAACCTTGGTACTTCAAATGTTTTGGATTTCAGTTCCAGAATCTCTGAATGCTGGTTAAGCTGGCACTGATTTTTTTGAGTTGCAAGTTGAAAACCAACAAAGTACCAACAGTTGAGAACTAGTGATCTAGACCACTATTTCTTAAACTGTGGATCCAGACCCCAATGGGGTCCCCACAGCTCAATGTTGGGGGTCACAAAAATTTGGCAACAGTAAAAGGTTTCTGAATCCCACCTATTTACACAAATATGTAATGCAACAACATGCAGTGTTTACAGTGGGCTCTGAAGAAAATGCTTCAGCTGTACTCCACAAAAAGGAAAATCAGCCTGTTTAACAAGTGTTGTACATGTTATTATCAGAAAATGTTTGATTTTTTATACCTACAAACCTAGGGTTGTGTAAAAATTTCTCAGGCAGAAAGGGGCCACAAGTGGGAAAAACCCTGATCTAGATCACGTGTAGATGTTTGTTTCTATGGTAGCATGGCACCTCTGGACCTTGCTCATGTACCTTTTCCATCTCCAGTTGCGTCTTCTCTCCACACACACAGGTCAATCCAGGCTATGACTAGAAGCCAATATTAGAGGAGTTAAAGGGGATAGCAGTTAATGGAAGACACTACCTAGTGTTTCCCACTTAGGTAATTACCTAGAAGATTTTGACAAAATTTAGTTATCACCTTTTCCCCATCTTTCTTCCCTTCCAGGGCAGCAGAGTCTACCTGAAGGAGAAGGCCTTCCTCTTTCCCTTCGAATAAGGGCCGGATTTTAGCATAGCGAGTTAAACCACCAGCTGCAAAAAAAACTTGCTGATTGAAAGGTCGACAGTTCAAGCCCAAGTTGAGGTGAGCTCCCAACCATCAGCCCAGCTTCTGCTCAACTAGAGGTTCGAAAACAGTAATATGAATAGATAAATAGGAACTGCTTTGGCAGGAGGTAATAAAAAGCACCCATGCGGACATGCTGGCGATTGAACTGGGAGAGCGTCTAAGGACAAGAAAGCATGGAAGATGGAGCAACAGCACCCCCTGTGGCTGGAGTGGTGCAAAGCCTCCAGATGCCAGAGATGGAAAAAGATGGGAAGCTTTTACCTCTGTTTATGTATTTTCTGTCTTTGTTAATTGTATAACAGCATTAAATTTTGCCATATATGTGTTCTATAATCCGCCCTGAGTCCCCTCGGGGAGATAGAATGTGAATATAAATAAAGTATATTATTATATATTATTATTAGAAGTGAAAGAGCTGAAGAAGAAGAGATGTCGAACGGTGTAAACTTGGGGCAGGAGCAGAAGAGAAAGACAGGTGGGTTCAAAGTTCTGTTCTGCAGGATGAGAAATCAAGAGAATGAGAGTCCTTGTATCCTTTCACACTACAGAATTATAGTATTATGATTCCACTTTCCCCACCATGGGTGTATCACAAAGAATCATGGGATTAGCAGCTCGGGAAAGAACTGTAGTGCCTTGTCAAACTGCAAATCCCAAGATACAGCCAAGGCAATTAAGGTGGAACTACAGTGCTAGAACTGTGTAGTGTGAAATGGATCCTGGTTTGGGAACGGGATCAGTTAAGTTTGCCTTAGAATATTATTTCCTCTTTAGCGTCTGTTTCCAAAAGCATCCTTTGCTGATATAAATGCTTTTCACTGCTGACATAATACTTAACAGGTAGTGCAGATGAACTTCATACAATTTAACTGTATGTCATCTTAGCCATCGCTAAAACGTAATGCAAACAGATTAACTGCACTTCTGGAAAGCTTTCAAATGTTGATTTTTGCACAACAGCAAATAAAAGGTAGTTTCATAATCAATGAGGAATCCTAATGTACACCTGTACACAAGTCTTTTCCTCTGAACCACTGGCAAATTTTACAAATACGTACATTCATTCTTGGAGTTGGCTGGGGATGGAAAAATGTTCTGTGTATGCTCAATCCTATCATTTCCTTTGCCACGGGCTGTGTGAAAGTGCTGCTCTGCATTGCCTTAAGCAGGGAAGAGCGCTCCTGTTTCTATTGTTTTCAAGCAATGAAAACAACATGGACACATAATAAAAATCCTCTAGTTATTGACCAACAACAGAATGAACTGGTTATCTATCCCCTGAATCAATCGATACATGCCAAAGCAAAACAAAAACACAGAAAAAGACATGAAAACAAGCAGACACATTATATCGTAATCACTTTTAAAGATTGTGAGAGAGATATTGCTATGGAAGATATCAGGTTTTCAGTGTGTGTGTGTGTGGTGATTTATATATTATACTAGCTTGGGAACCTAGCGTTGCCCAGGTTATTTGAGGAAGTTTTTTTTAATTTTACATTTTACAAAATGCATAAAATTGTGGGTGAACTACATCTCACAACATGCCAGGTTAACCCCCTGAAACTCAATCAATACTTAGTTTGTCATATTGATAAAGTTTGCTCTTGATGCATCATCGGTGGGGTCCATATGCAGGGTAAATTACAACTCCCACCATGGTGAGACAGTCTCTTCAAACCCCTACAGCAGGTCCAGTTGGCCATGGGATTTCTGCATGCCAAGTTTGGTCACCGTGTATTGTCAATGGTGGTCATGGTGTCTCTGGATATAGGTGAACTATAACTCCCAGAAATGAAGGTCACTTCCCCTCCAGTATGTTCAGTTGGTCATGGGGGTACTATGTGCCAAGTTTGATTCAGGTCCATCGTTGGTGGAGGTCAAAGTTTCTCTGGTTGTAGGTGAACGACGACTCCTATAAATCCACCCAAGGACCACTAGTATTTTTTGCTGGTCATGAGGGTTCTGTGTGCCAAGTTAATTACAGATCCATTGTTGATGTGGTTCAGAGTGCTCTCTGATTGCAGGTGAACTATAAATCCCAGTACCTACAACTCCTATAAATCAAGATGAATTCATCCCAAACCTCTCCAGTATTTTGTGTTGGTCATGGGGGTTCTGCA